TCCTTTAAAGTAGAAAAATTGAAAGAAGAAAATTGGGACTTAGATTGTCTTATAGAAACCAACTGCCATAATATTCAAGAAACCCTCTGAAAAATCGCTTTATTTTAATCAATAGCTGTTCTGTTGCAACAAAGAGATTAATGAGCAACTCCTAGTTTCTCCTGCTCACCCTGGTGATCATTATTGCAGACATAGAATGTAAATTGTGTAAAGTCCAGTTGTCGACCTGAAAAACGCTTTTAAATGCACTTAACGTTGAAAATTGATTAACCAAAATTTATTCCGTCTTCGCTTAATTATCGTATATGATGCATACAATATATAATAGCTTTAGTTTGCTGCATGTAAATGGAGAAACAATGATTTCATTTTATTCGGCGCCAATTTATTTAAATATCGTTAGCAACGCATTGAGCATCCCCTTTATTTAACGCTTTTCACCTACAACCGTGGCATGCTATGCCACATAAATTTCATCCTCTAGTGGTTTACTGTTGTATGAAAATTTTATTTTTGCTTTAAATTTATTACTTTGTGAATCTATAGCATAACGTTCATGTATTGTATTTAAGTAAAAATTACTCCTGCTTGATATATCATCAAAAACTACACACCATTAACAACAATCTCATACAAAGTGTGTCCGTGTGTTTTAGGTTTTTTTTTTCCCCCAATTGATGAGAATTTTGTTTTATTTGAGAGAAGTGCTCGGAGATAAGTTAACATGACCTACTCGAAATTTTTGATCATATTTTGTTCACAGCGAAATAACAAAAATGTCCTTTAAATTTTTATTAAAATCTTGTTACTGTCAAGGGATATTTTTATTAGGAATACAATCTTAGATAGATAGATCTTTACTACAAGTGCAGAATTTTACTGGAATTGTTTGAATTAATAATGAGACTGAAAAACTTTTAAATCATTGAAGAGTGAATTTAGTTGAAAGCACCGTCAACGTATTTGACATGATTTGGATTGAATTATATGATGAAGCCAATGTCTGATTGTTTATAGCCATCAGGGTTCATAATGGATTTTTCAGGCACCTTCATACGCACTGAGTGTTGTGTGATATACCTAACAATATGAAAATTTAAATGTCGTTTGTGAAGATTGTTTTTTTACGATATCTTGTACGATACGATACCATAAGGAAATTATTTGTTTCAATTTCATTAAATGGGAAAATGAACTCGAAGCTTGAACAGTTCTTCTTCAATAACTTCTTACCATTGTCGCCTTAAGAGTTAAATCCATTACTTCAAAGAACTTAATCTAATTTTTTTGATGGCAAAACCTCGCACAAAGCCATGTCTTCCACTGCGTAGAGGTGTTTTCCGAAATGCAAAATCCGAGAGTGAAACACTACCGGATTGGCTTTTAGTAACAACACACTTTAAAATACTAGTCAAAGTGATATCCAACTTCATCAACACGAATAAATTCACGATTGTCGGAATCCACTCGTCTTAATCCTTAGTTCGCCTATTCAATATTGCATAAACAGCCAGACATTGAAAAGCTGTATTGATAGCCAATAGAGAAACCTTTACAATATACGGAGATTCGCTTTCGGAGCATCTAATTCTATGGACATCTTGAATGTACCTGGAGAACACAATATCGATAAAATATTTAACTTCATTATGGCGACCAGACTTATCATCTAACTTACCTTTTAAGGAAACAGGGCCGGTAGCCTCGGTTACCTATGCTCATCATTTTACTAATAGAATTTATTTCTTTGGTCTAAATAAATTAGCAACAACTTATAAAAATTATAAAAATATAAATTTTATATATTCGAAAAATATTAACGCGAAATTGCGTTTGTATCATAATACCTGCAGGTAAGACTACTTGTTAGATCATGGCAAGCTGATAGACTACGTCATATGGAATCCTATTATTATTAGCGGATCTCAAATGGAATGTAGAAGCACTACGTCAATATCCTTTATTAGTTAGTTACGAAGGGTAGTGTGTATAAACTGCAGTGGACACAACACGCTTAAGCCAATCCATCATTCAAATATTTTATTCAAAATACGGCAGAACTCTGCCGCCAATCTACTACAATAAATGATCTTATTACACTAATACATTGCAAATGTTGATCTTTATGGCCCATCCTCCGTCACCATATACGTTTGATTCCTCCAAGGGAAGACGAAAATATATATGAACAAAATTTTCCAAACTATAGAAAGTGTCTTGCAAATATCTCCTCAAACGCGAAGATGATCCATAGTGATAATTCACACTTTCCAGGTTTATGCCTTTGCTAAATTCTATGTTCAACAAAATAAAGAAAAATTGGCCAAGTAATTATTAAACTTAAAAGAGGGAAAAACGCAACAATGTCTTTTAATATGACCACAAAGCTAAAAAAGAGCGATAATGCAAATACGACGTTAAACAAACGTATGATCGCTGAAAGGAGGTAGTATGTAAAACTCGATATACAACATTTTGAAAGACCGAACACACTCACGATTTTCGTTATGTTTTAAAGGGCGCTAAGAGCTAGCATTAAAATCTCATTTCATCACAATCTCCTAAGGGGATCATCACTGAATTTTCTTTCATAGACCGCCATACAACGTGTACATAAAGCTTCGTATCATTTTGTACAATAACACACTCGTTTTAAAAGACCGCAAGAGTTATCAAGAAAACTTTATTTCTTTACGATGTCGTCTCCCATATACATCAATTCCCATGGATGTGAGACGCGAAAACTTTCGTTTACATTAAGGCTAAACATTAAAAAATTGATTCTCATGGTAACTGGTGACATATCAAAAATCTGGAGCTTGCCTAACTCTCTCCCCAATTAACTCAGTATATCTTCGTTTATTATAATTCTTCTCTTCCGCATAGTATATAGTAGTAATAAATTTTTATTTTATAGTTTCGTATATATAATGCAATGATTTTATGATTTTTTTGATTTATGTTTATATTTTGCTTAATTTTCGAATCTACATAATCACATAAAATATAATCACTTAGCAAAGTCGCGAACCGGCAGGAAGACAATCAACGTTGTAGGAAAGATGAAATGGTAGGCTATGTTCGATCGAATAACTTCACGTCAATTATTTTCTTCCTCTATGATAGAACTAATATGAAAATTCCTTCAATAGAAACGGAAGTCTACCATCGATTATCCAGTAGAGTATTTTAAAAAATAGTGTACAAGTTTTCTTTGCAAAATATTCGAATAATTTTGCCCGATAGTAGAAGCACTTGAACATTTTCCCTTGCACATCTATTATTAAGGACTTGAGCATTTTAGAAGCTGTCAAAGAAAATATTAACTCTCGTAAAGAGTTAATTAACTCGTAGAAAGCTTATAAAGAAAAAAAAAAAAAAAAAAAAATAGTAATATTAAGTTAATTAAATTCCTTAAGAATTGCATTGAATTGAATTAAATTGAAAAGATAATAAATAATCCTGGCGACGTAGTTACGGCGCTGTCAACGGACTGTATTTATAAACGCGGGAATGTTTTTAGCTTTTAGATGCAATCATTTTATGAATTTACAAATATGTATTATATGTACATATAAGTACACTTTCATATATCTGCCTATACAAGGTGAATGTGAAAATGTGTAAACCGAGAGAGAGAAATGTATTCCGAGTGTTGTAAACATAAATTTAACAATTCAAACAAAGTGACGGCCTCTGACATCGTTTAAAGAAAGTGTCACAACGACATGAAACTCATTAAGAGAAGCTACATAGTCTTACCATGCACACACACGCACAAACACACACATATATATATATATATATATAGATATATCCAGACTTATATCCTCATGATAGTATATATTTATAAGTGCATATATATATATATATATATATATATATGTATAAGAGACTTTAAAACATATACGAATAATGAAAACCACAAAACGCATTAAACATTTCATTCGCCATTGCAGACCAAGCCCCTGCTTTATACGGTAACGAGCGGTAAATTTACGTGCGAACTTCTACTTTAATAGAATTTATTGTCCTCCCCACTCAAAACACATTATTCAATTATTCGGTGGTAACATAAATTAACAAAACGAGCCTCTGTGAAGGTATGAATGAGATTTTCATGCAGGCATATACGCCATGCTTGTTAAGCTCAAATTGAAACATGTAAGCGAGCATCCAAATCAGGCAGTGAAAAAGAGAGCCAACACGATAAAGAGAAAGAAATATGTTCTTTGTAGACTTGTAGGCATACATTCGATAGTGGTGCATGCCGCGCTTATACCATTACTCCGGCTACACGAAAACTCTGCTGCGCTTATGAAGTAAAGTGTGAGAGAGAAAGAGTGAGAAAATTAAGAAATAGGTGGAGCTTGTTAGAGAAGTAGAAAAATGTAGAAAAAGCAAAAAGTAGAAACCTGTTTGCTTTTTATGAATTAAAAATTTAATTTAGATCGAAAACACAATTGCAGACAAACAAACATATATGTATGTATATATATGTATGTACATATATATATACAAATATGTATTTATATACACTCTCTTCTATGGCTTAACACCTTTTTGTACTGAATGCTTTGTTTCCGAATTTATCGGCTTTACATTTTGCACACCTGTGTTCGATCACTTGCAAGACAGAAAGAGAACTTTGTCAATTAAATTTTTCAGCTCTCATCAGCATATCGCGGAAAACTGGTAGAAAGAGTATAACAAGAGATCGCGCGCGTCTTATTAACTGGTTTGATAAGGCATGTGGGATTCACACAAGCATAACCGGTATTTGAAACACACCTGGTTATATGAATACGAACGATAGACTTACACTGTTCCCCAAGCAAACGAACTTCACCAGTTTACGGGCAACTTTGACTCAGTGTGGTTGTTATACGATTTTTATAATGTGTGCATGCATGTGGCGTTTTCCGTTAAATTTAGTTGAAACTTAAAAGTTTTGAACACTTTACAACGCGTGTACCCCGAATATAACGCATACAAGCAAATTAGATTATCACCATGTCGAACGCAATGAAATGCTTCCACCTCTCGCCATATTGAACGTTTGTTTGCATGCATACGTAAAACAAGTTTAGCAAGAACTATTTATTTACCGCTAAAAATCGTTACGAAAATTGCTTAAAACAGTTGTGGTTGTTTTTAATATTTTTTTTTTTTTTTTTTTTATTTCTCTTTTATTTATTTATATATTTATTTTTTTTTTTTTCTTTTGTTTTTCCTATTGTTGCTTTTATTCAATTTGCAAATGAAACTTGAGAAGTTTTCAAGCTCACTATTATACATTAGTAATCGATTAGTGGGAACAATATATTTATATATATATATATATACACATATATATCTGGTTAAGTGAATGGCGTTAATCGTTTGTGTGTGTTCATGTGTATTTCTGCGTGGATAGTAAATGATTGCAAAATAAAAACAACAACAACAACAACAACAACAATAATAATAATAATAATAATAACATTACAAATCTTAATTAGAAAGTTTGCACAACCGATGCATTGTGTGAGAAAAACAATAAAAAGAAAAATCAATTAACTTGGATTAAACATAGTGTGAAAATAATGATAGTGAAAGCCGACGGCGCTATAACTGGTAATACTGCAAATGTGAGGATAATTTCGCTAAACTAATCTTGCAGAAATTGGATTTTGTTTCATTTAATCAGATTCGGTAAGTTTTTGCTACCCCCAAGGTGCGGCGTGCGATATTTTTATTGACAGACTTCTCTCTTAAATCCATTACGTCGTAGCTGCATTAGGTTTGACAAACGGCAATTGTGCATTCAAGTAGAGGGTGTACCCACTCTTGATCTAAATGAGAGACGGAATGCTTTTAATGTTAACTGCCTGTCTCTTTGTTCACCAAAATCACCGTTGCGATCTCAAAAGCTGATTCTAGATCTTAAACGATCTCCTTTCAATTTCGACAAATTGATTATATAAGTCGGTCATGGCTAGCAAAAAAACCTAAAAAATTTCTCTTCCTTTACACAGAGCAGTTGCCTCAGAATTTTTGATTGAACTTAGCCTTGCATTTGTTTTTTAAATTCAAAAATAGAACAGACATATAAGCATGTGTACGTATATATATATGTGAAGTATGCAAGAGTAAGTAGCCAGGATATTCAGTTTTTACACTCACGATGATGACTTGCCGCCAAATTGTATAGAATGAAGTTTCAACTAACGTGTATTGTATATAAGAAAGTCCTGAGAAGATTCTTTATCCAATAGATTTTCCATAAAAGCCATAGATCGGAATAATTTCGATAAACATTACCCTATGCAGCCAAACTATCAATAATTAAAGGAAAAGACACAAAATTTGTTAATCCACTTGAAAGTAATGGACTTCTGAAATTAATCTATATTTATGTCTATCATTTCGACCAAGCCTTTTCAAGTTTTGACCATTGACCAAAACAACAGTTTCAACTTGCATAAGACTGAAGGCAAAAAGAAACTCAATATTAGGATATTATATATGAATTAATATATTCAATTATAAACTGGTTTGCGAATTTCAATTCCATGATTCAGTGAATCTAATTACATGTATTCAGTTCTATAAGTAATTAAATAAATATTGCTACAGTATATTAGTATATAAACATTTGCAAACTTCTTTATTCATTATTAATTACGGCAACGAAACCTGATTTTTACATATTAACCAGAGGTCATGTATACCTGGGTTTAGGTGCCTGCTAGTTGTTATGAAAGTTCTTTAAAAAAGCTTAGAATTATTCTCATCGTCAGCGCCCATCAAAAAAAATATCGAAATAACAAACATCAGTCAAAGTTGTATCAGATCTCTTTAAAGACCTGAATCGACCAATCAACTCGACCATAGCTAATGTTGCCCGCAGTCGTAGCGAGTAAACGAATGAAGATGACTATAAATGCGTTGTTGTAATCTGCTCCATAAATTGCCCTTTGATTATTGTCTGTCGTGGTGGACACATTTAAATTCCTATCACTTTAAATAACTTTTCATTGGAACTTCTTTGCTTCCGATAAGTTCTGCAATACAAAACCACATAATCCAACTATTTCTGTGAATAATACTCGAAATTGTTTTCTTAATTATCGCAAGGCGTCGGCTCTTTCATGCACTTGTTTATTCGTTTACTTGTAAATTGATTCTCTGCATCCTTAAAATAAGTTTTTGAAAGCATTTCAAAATTCTTACCCGGCAACTTTTTACCTCCACCTCTACTGGAAGAAAAGCGCGTGCTATTTAGAAGTTATCAAACTTCGTACAGGTAAAGATGGATTTTCCCGTGATAGGTTTCCTCTTCTTTTTTCCTCAAAAACTTGAACTGAGACTCTCTAGTTGATGTTTTACATATTGGTAGCATTAAAAAATGTCTTTTGTACTTCGAAAACCGATGTCATAAACTTTTTGGACATCCCTTAATCTCTTGACTCACTCTCTCCAAACAATAGTTAGAAATTCTATATAATTCTTTCTAAAGAGAGAGAGCGAGAGAGAGAAAGCTCAACAGTATGTGGCAAAGCTGTAGTTCAAGTCCGTAACTATCCATCAGTCCAGTTAGCCTCTTCACGCTCGATCCCTTCTTCAAAATTCGAAACACATAGAAAATTCTCTCACTCGCACGTCAGGTGTCTTCAACACCGTTAGTTAGTAGCTAATCGTTCACTACCAAACTATTATCCGTCATTTTTAAATAATAAAAGATATTTGTTGTTATTTGAAGATGAAATATATTGATAACACTGGAGCAAAAGAGAAGAAGACTTGGAAATTCATAAAATGAAATTTGAATTCCATTCTTCTCAAAATATTCCAGTTTCAGCAAATATTTTTTACTATTTAAGATCGATAGGTCACTTGAAGTGAATATTTGTTACTCCTACCATTTATGCTATATCGCAAAATATGGAGAACAGTTTGGTAACTGTTGGCTTGTAAGTTATAGTTTAGAAGATTGAGCAAACGGCTTGTGAACGAAAATCAGTTAGTAAATATAAGCTAGATATTGTAACTAGTTGCCAATTATAGGAAAAGTCTTCGGCTTATTAATACCATATTTGAAGGTAATCTATAACCATTAAACAGGAATCATATGTCGGTCAATAATTCTCGGGACAAAGCAATGCTTTTTTTTCACTGAAAACTTCTTCTTAGGATTCAGTCCAACGATTCTCTAACATCTTTTTATGGTGCATCGTAAAATAAGCATTAATTTTCCCAAAGATCTCACACTTGATCCAAATTCTTGTCGCTGAAACAGCTATTTGAGATTTGCAAACAAATAATTGCCGCTGTAGGTCGGATCTGGTTGTGACCGCAATTCGAACTTCATGCATCTTTGCCCTTGCAGACAACGATTTGTGTCACGTGTCTTTGTTCCAATCTGAGTAAATACGGTGCCCAATGGCAAAACAGCGCTTTTGTCCCCTTTTTTTCAGGGAGAATACTGAATACAGTCATGAATATGATACCTCTAGGATATTAGGTGCCCCATGCAACTATAGTTTTCGATTATCATGAATAATTTTCACGGTTCGACTTGAAATTTCAAAAAACCTCATAAGAAGGTCAGAAATTCGTCTGTCATAGTCCTTCCAAAGTCTTATGATTCTATCTCTGGAAATTTTACAAATTATTTTGCACCTTTACCCACATGACTAGTCGATCGCACGTGATCACAGGTCCAAATCTCAAGTGTGTTAGAATTTGCAACTCAGGCGAGCTTATGATTTAAGTTATCCAGCAAATATACAGACAATCAATAAATATATAAATTTTGGATTTCTTATTATAGCTATGTATGTTACAGAAACGTTTTGGATGTTTTGGTGTCTCGTTTAAATGCAATAAATAACTCTTTCAACGTGTCCACGACTCTTTCACCTTGAACAGGCATGTTAATCAATTTGTCAATGTTTTCATTAGTGTATTTATAATTCATTGTTTTTTTTTTTTATTGTTTAATTAACGCTATGTTAATTTATTTGCACAAAATTGTTGCAAGTGCAAATTACTTGTACGTATTTGCGTTTATTGCATCTGTATAATGTGATATATTCGTTATCTAAGTGAAAATAGAAAGCGGAAGAAATATAAATCCTTGATTACTGTCAACAGCTGTATTCGCTTGGATACATCCATCATTATATCAATGTGACCCGATAGAGAATATCGCCCTCTTATTTCTTGAACTTTCTTGCTTGTAACTTTTAGCGTTAGACGTAAAATATGCGTTGGTTGGACTATTGATCTGTACCTCGAATTCTAAATGACAAACCATATATTCGAGTATTCACGAAATGGAGTCATAACCTATATCACTTGCGATACAAGGGCATATTCAGTTTGTGCGGATATATGCAGCATCCAGAAGGACTTGGGTAGACCCATCTGGTTTTATACCGGTTTAAGCTTGCCTGCCCATCTTTTTTTCCGTTCGTCTTTCTTTCTCGTGTTCAACCTACAGGCGGCAACATTTGAGATATTTTGATTAAATTTGATGCCCTGATGTGCATTCGCTGAGAGACATTCGTTTTCGAAAATGGTTCAGATCGGATCACTTTTTCGACCTCTGTCCATATAACGCCGTGGCCCGCTATAAGGTTTTTACCTGCTGTTATGTAAAAATGATGTAAATTAAATTCAAAACAATTTCCTAAATTATAATACGGTGTTTATAGAATAAATAAATAAATTCTGTAACTTCTTTGGAAAAATTCAACTTCGTTTCAAATATACTTGTAACAAGGTTTATGAATCGAGATATATACCATCACTATCAACGGCCTTTTGCCTCTTGTTGAGTAGCTTGCCTATGCCCTCACGGCAGAAACTTTATGGTACGGAGCACACATTTCCAGAACTAATAGTCTGTTAAGTATAAGTCCATCGATCTGAACAAGTACTAATGGGAAGGAAACAGGTCGAGAAAAATTCTCGATCGAAGTTGAACATCACTTCGTAAGTTGTTTTTGCAGGAGATAGACAGAAATCTCTTAAAATACTTTCGAACTGTTGTATAGTTTCATTGCAAGCCAACCTAATCATTTCCGCAAATTTAGCTACACTTTTTTCTGGATCAATCCAGGTAAAAACAGAACAAAATGCAAAAATGCAAGGTACCATGAGTGACATCCATCTCTTTACACTTTCATATGCGCTAACTGACCCACTTGTAAGCAACTGAAACTTGTACCCATCCGCTCCCCCCTCCCTAATGCTTCGCAAATGCGTAGTTTACAGAATTTATTTGCTCACCTAATACTTTTACATGATTTTTGATATCTGAAATTCTCTTCAAAATGAATAGATTTTTCTTAGCCGTTATTAAGGAATACAAATTTTTGATAAAATATTATTTCGAAGCGATATTTTTGTAAAGAAGAATTAAAATTAATTTAATAAATATTAATAGGTTTAACTTATAGTAAATAGAGAAGTTCATAAATTCAAAGGAAAATCTTATCTTACGGTATAAAAAGTCCCAATTAATTTCGAAATCAATCATTTATGGCATTATTTTATTTAATTAAATTTTAGTACATCTTGAACTAATGAAAAAATTGGCTACAAAATCTATTTTTTTGTAATCAGCCTTTTTTGTGTCACTCAAAATTTGAAAATGTTCTTATCGCGTTTCGAAGGTGTCGAACATTTTTGTAAACTTCATTATC